TTTTTCGGAGGGGGGAGATTAAAGAATCTTTTCTGGTCATGCCATGTGGATCCAGGCTCTTGAAAGAGTTACCTATTACTAGTATTAGGACCAGGTTTTCGGGGGCCTCCATTTTATGTTCATACATGAAATTCTGGACTGGATATGGTTCTGCTTGGTGTTTTCACACATTTAGAAATGAGTCGGTGTTAATATTTCATAATGAGAACTTCAGGTCCTGTTGTTAGGGAATCGCAGAGGAACATTTTTCTGCAGAAGGATGGATGATGTTTGACTTTCCATGTTGCTTTTATAGATAATAGTTTTGAAGGATTTTTTAAAAAAGTGAATTCACCTTTTATCATGATGACAATAACTGACCGACCATCAATGATTTATTTATAAAGGCACCAGCCATCCATGTCCAGGTGCTGTTTTAGCCTCTGACAATAACTGAATGAAACAGTTGAAAGCAACAAGAGAGATTAGGGTGGGGGAGGGGGGCCTAGCTAAACAGTAATATTTGTAATATATTGACTCGGAGTCTTTTTTTTTCTTTCTTTTTTAAAAGTGAATTCACCTTTTATGATAGCAATGGTTGAATGAAACAGTCGAAATAAAGCAACAAGAGTGGTGGAGGTAGCTAGCTTGACAGTGATTGACGGAAAGGGTTGAATGTGGTAGTTTTTATGCATTTTGACTTTTGAGTGGGTTCGTGTATTTTGACTTGAACATGCTTCTGAGTGTGTGTTGTTTGTGAAAGATGTTCAGAGAGAGAGAGGGAAAGGGAAGAGAGATAGAGAGATTTGTCGTGTTCACGGCCATGTGAAATGGGAGACTGAATAACTTAATGGAAAATTTCTTGTCTGACATGATGCCAAATCAAGACTAAATCTATACCGTCAGGCTCAGATAACTCTAACGCGTCTGGGATTGAAAACTGTGTTTGACACATCCATATTTCAGGTTAAACAATCTTTTAAAAAATTGAAGAGAATCAATCAGGGAATGGTAAAATGCACAAGCGATCCTGGATTTTGAGTTTTTTGTGTTTGTGTTATCTCTGCTGGACTGTATACTTTTTTCAAAGTTTATTATCTGAGGTGAATAAAAGTTCTATGTCGTATTCTCCTCCAATGTATGATTTGATTTTGTCCTCGTGTACAATTTTTATTTGTCTGGAATACTGTTGTTGTCACTATCTTCTCTTTTACTACTCCAAAGTGAAATTTTCATTCTGATTACCGGGTAAGTGAAAACCTCAGCTGTGTTTCTATCTTCTTTGGGGGTTTCATTGTGGAGTTAACTTGTAGCTGTCTCAGTCTGACTTTAGACTTAGGAGGGCAACACGTAGGAGAATGGCAGAGCAACCCTGGCTGTGAATAAGTTCATGCTATTATATCACAAGCATCGGGTGATAAGAAAAGCGAGGCTTCTTCGTTTAGAGAAATATTGTGCTGTTTTGTGGCCATGTTTGGTTTAGGTAGTTGGAGAAACAGCAAGGAAAAAGACAGAAATGGTAGAGTAAAATAAGGAAACAACTTGCTCATGTACGTGACACCCTCCACCTTCTAACTCGTTGGGAATAATAAAACCTGGAAATAAGTCACGATGTATGTGTGAAATCCCTGAATGATTATATGGCGTTGACTGTCAAGTGGACCTATTGTGTCATGTCAGTTTTCTCATTTATCTTTCAAGTAACGAGTCAGACGTTCCTGACTCTGACATTCCTTCCATTACTTGATGTATACGATATAAATTATAATACAAAATAAGTGTCATCTTCACTCTGATTGGATATCATTTATTTTTTTTATTTGGAGAAAATACAACAACGTCAGTCAGTTGAGTCAGTCTGTCTGTCTCCCCCCACCCCCCACCCCCACACGGACCCTTTTCCTTGTGCCAAAAAAGATCAAAGGCTACACAAGTAAGCCCTCATTCTCTGCGCCTCGGGGCACGACCAGCATGTATCGGCCCGCCCCCGACACTGTTCCATGCCACGCCCTCTGGCAGCCCTCGGTGAGGACCTGGCAACTGGCTGAGCACACTGACGGGCAGGCCCGCAGACACAGGAAGTGGCTTGCGCGCGGACACAGTATGCATGCGCACGCTGAAGCGAACAGCGTGAGGCAGATGGTTGCCATGACAACAACGACAGCGAAGAGGTGATCATGAGTGTCTTCTTCGTCCGGAGCTGGCATCAGCTGATGATTTTGTTTTC